ACAGAAGCTAAGACACCTTGATAGTGAGATAGATACACACTTTTTTAGTTTGTTTCAAATACTCTCGTTTTGAAGCTCTGTTAGGAATCTCAAGTGTAAATTATTATTAGGAGTCTTCCAACTGAAATTTTCATACATGTTCATACAACACCCTATATACGTTATGTTACACAACTTGTTTATTATTATTATTTCATATTTCATTTTGACACTCATGTATAACACCATATATACCTCGTATATACTATTTACTCCTTTTTGTTTGTTTTGCTCATTTGAACTACAATAACTAGGTTTTTTTTCCCTCTTCCGTACATAGATAATATAAGTGATAATATTAAATACCAAAGTATATACTAGGTTTATATATGTTATTCAATTTGTATTGAGCTATGTATTCTACACCTATTACTAATTGTTTCATATATAATTTGTATACCTCGTGTTAATAAATATACCCTCTGGAACTAATCATTTGTATTCACCCACCTTGTTCTAACAAACTGGAACCATTAGCGTTTTTGATAGTAGGGCCTTGAATGGGGACATACTGATGCTTTCTTGATAACTTTTGTTATAAGAAAACTTTATTAGGTATAGCTTGGAGTCCAAATTGTCTGTGAAATCAAATATGTAGGTGTGCATCCCCCAAAGTTTGGTTCAATTGTTCAGTCTAATTATCTGTTTGTGGGTGAAAAGCAATACTGAAGTCCACTTATGTACCCAACACTTTTTTGGAGACTTCTAACTAGATGTGAAGCAAAGGTCAGATCTGACACTATCAACATTGGCACCATGTGTAATCTGACTACCTCCTTTATTTACATTTGTGCTCAATTGTGCTCAATTGTCCATAGTATAGGTAGCCTTTCTAGGCAAGAATTACGGTCACTTGGTGAGTCTATGAATGATCACTCATATCACCGTATAACTTTTCATGTTCTTGGTAGTTCCACGATAAAATTCATCTCTATGTTCTCCCACTTCCATTCTTGGACACTTAACCATTTACTCATGAATTCTATAATGTTCTTTTTCATATTGCGGTCACTTATATGATCTTCAAGTTTTGGTATATTTTAGTACTGTCTGAATGCATGAAAAGTGGTGAAGTGTAGGCCTCTGTTAATATATTGTGCCTAAGCCCATCACCTACTAGTATGCATAAGCATCCTTGATAGAGAAGTCCACCATTCACAGATTGAAATGTCCCTCTATTGATCCTAGCGTGAGCTGGTTTAAAATCTTTGCAAGACTATGTGATCTTCCTGTTGGGAATGTATGATACTGTCGTCTCATAGCTAGATTGAACTATTAGATGAGCCATCTAAGCAACAACTCGTCGTCTCATAGCTAGATTGAACTATTAGTTGAGCCATCTAAGCAACAACTCTTCCAAATCATGTGTTGGATAATTATGTTCATAATTCTTTAGTTGGTGCGAGACATACCCAATGAATTTCTCTTCTTGTATTAACACATCTCAATTCTTTCTTAGAGGTATCACTATAGACCACGATGCCTCCATGGAGTAGCACTGTGAGTAATGGTACCAATACTAGTATGTGTTTGAGATCTTGGAAACTCGTCTTACATGCCTATCCCACACAAATGAGTTCTATTCCAAGCCAATTGAGTCAATGGCATGGCTAATTTAGAAAAGCCGTGTACTACAGTAATCGTAGTGGAACGTATCCACTTGGTAACAATTTCTACCTTAGCTGGGTTTATGGTTACCTCATCTTTTAACATTACATGCCATAAGAAAGAGACTTTTTGTGGCCAGAAGTTCAGTTTTAAGAACTTTGATGCATTACTTTTTCTCCCTCAAGATTGTTAAAAACTCTCTTGAGGTGTGTGTTTCATGCTCTACATCTTGGAGTAGATTGGGCACGATCACAAATATATTGAGGCATTACTTAGATATTTAATTTATTAATTCCATGAATACTGCATGCATGTTCGTTAGACCAAACGACATGACCAAGAACTCATAATGGTCATACCTTGATGCCGTCTTTCAAAAGTCTTCCACCTACATCCTTATCCTTATCTAATGGTGGCCTAACAATTAGTCAATGGGAGGGAGAGCATATTTTTTCTTCATAGTTACCTTGTTTAACTCTTGATAGTCATACATAACCACATCAATCCATCTTTTTTCTTTACAAATAAGATTGACGCATCTTTAGGTGAAACACTAGAGATAGATAAAGCCTTTGTCATAGATCTTGCATCTCCCCCTTAAAGTTCTTTTAGTTTCGTCTGTGCTATATACAATAAGAGTTTTCAAAGTAGGATTTGCACCTAGTTCGAGCTCAATACAAAAATCTACTGCTCAAGCAGGAGGTACCCCTACGTTTGGAAATGCTCCCTGTGCTAATACGGTAGACATCATTGTCTTTTCTTTTCCCGTGTCAATCACACTGATGAACTTCATGCTCAACCTTCAATGTTGACACTTCCTTTGGGACAGTCTGGTGCCGCCAAGTTTGAAGCTAGTTCATTTACAATAACAATCAATTAGCAAAATTCTTGGCTAACCAATCAATTGTTAGAATAATATCAAAATCTAGCGTGCTTATCTAACACCAGCACTTGGGTACCTATAGACGAAGTATAATTTAGAGTTTTACTAATCTCCCTGCTAGTGAAGGCATAAGCCTTCCCCTTCTGGTTGGTCTTTGTTGACATTGCAACACCATCTGAACTTGTGTGTTTGCTATTATCTCCTCTATATAACCTCTCCCTGGGTATTGACTGGTCATATGACCCTATTTGATCAAAGCTGCAGTTTTATCCCAAGGTAGTTCCTGGGTTTATTAGTATTTGAAGTTTCTCGGCCTTGTCTTCTCCCATCACCATGATTGCTCTGAAGGTTGTGGCGAAATCAGTTGGTGCCAAGGCTGATACAACACCTCAGGCACTTTTATGATTGCGGTTTTGGCCTTCATATCAACAAGCTTCGCCAGGTAAGGTGTTTTAATCATGTCACAAATATTTTATGTTGTATGATAAGATTGTACCATACATGCTTGTTTGAATTCAGAGAGTTTCATTTATATTCTTCAATTTTAGAGTATTATTTTCAGGTTTTAAGTTAGGCATGAGTGTTACAACCTTTCAACTGAACATAGGTTACTCTACTACCGTCTATTTTCAAGGCTATAAATAGTCGTTTTAGTTGTTGTTTTAGTATGAATATCATGGATATTAAAATGGAAGTGGCATATTATGCTCCTTAAGTCATGAGCTTGTTCCTTTGCATTTCTTTGTTGGATGATGAAAGTCCCACATCGGCTAATTTAGGGAATGATCATGGGTTTATAATCAAAGAATACTCTCTTCATTGGCTTGAGGCCTTTTGGGGAAGCCCAAAGCAAAGCCATGAGAGCTTATGCTAAAAGTGGACAATATCATACCATTGTGGAGAGTCGTGTTCGTCTAACATTCTTGTGTTTAGATTTGCATGCTAGTCATTCAAGTAGTTTTGATCCAGCTATCTTGTGGAGTGATTCAAATCACGAGTTTAGAAATTAGTTTTTGTTACTCTTGATCTTGATCATCAATGTAACTTTCACTTGGGTTGATTCTTAATCGTTACTTGGATTTTTAGATAATTTAGATCTAAAAATCGTGTTCTTCAACAGGGTTGTTATATCAAATCTCAAAAGTTTAATGCCTCTTGAATTTCCTTTCATACTTGTCCACCGATTGCCCATTCTATTGTAGGTTCATGAACTTGAGTTGTTGACGACTATAGGGTAATCATTAAATCAGAAGGGTCTCCTTGAACTGAAATCACGTAACTGGTATCTCCTTGGGGTGATTGTCAACTCCGTAGATTAGTGTCATCCTACATATTATTGTCTCTATAGATGATTACCATAATTTTTGTACCATGGGATCTCCTGGAGATTCATCGAAGACATGAGAGTCGTACGTTCTAAAGTCCCTAAGGTATCTCGCCTCCATGGTTGCACCTCCCGAGGTTTATCCTACCTGTGCTGCTTGATTATCCCACCCCTGTCTGCACCGTTTGAAACATTTCCAACATTAGGGTCGTAACTGTGGGCTTTGGTTGCGCTACTACCGGTGCTACTAGTGGTTTCATCTGACCTATCGAAGTATCCTGAGGAGGTCCTTGTGCTCCCCAATTCCTGTCCCCATAGCGGGCTAACTTCATTACCTCACCTCTTCTACACGGTGACGTGATCTAGTATTCAAACAAACACGACTAAGTCTATTGATTCTCAACATTACATTTGAACCATCATTAACATTACATACAACTCAAAAGCTGTAAACTTAATATTTATACTTCCATCGGCGAAAATTGAAATTTAAACTATGCTTAAACACGAAAATCAGATAAATTAACGTGCTTTCTAAGTTAACAGAAACCATTATTCAACGTGGAAAAAAATTATCTAGAAGCAAATGTCGTTCCATAGCCTTCATAGTGAAAGTTGTCATCCTACCCGTTGTTCCTTGCTGTTACCTAAAAAAATGTTAGGAAAAGAATGAGCGTTAAAAAAATATTCATGACTTTGATGTTTGGATCGAGAAATGCAAACACATATAATGTACATCATAATTTCAAGCCATAAACAACCAACAAACGACTAAAAAGAGGAAAAGAAATTTACCGGTTGGACGACCGACAATTTGATGGACTAACAATTGACGATCTAAATCTTCTTCTAGCAAATACGCTTGAAACTGGGTTCAAATTCAAAATTAATTGAAATGGATTAAACGTTGGTAGTTAAGATTGTATGACTTTCGACGACTTGGAGAAATTCGAGATTATACTATATTGTGGAGAAATTTCATTAGCAAATAACATAATTTAAGCTTCATTATACTATGAACCATTTACAAGTCCATTATTTTATGCCCAAAATTGGACAAAACTATATCTAGGGTTTATGGAGTGGATCATATTTGCAGATAGAACCATGACAACATGAACAACTCCATATATATATATATATATATTTTATCTAGGCCCAGAAGTGAAGAGTTTCAAGATAGAGTAGCCATATTGATCCATGTTGATGATGATGATCTAAGCTCTCTCAAACTTCATGCAACAGCTTTCATGGCAGAGAGAACATCCGACACTCCGATCAAGAAGACAACCAGAAGTTGATCTCCCCGGCAGCTTGCTTGAACATTTCTTCTGCCACCATCGCTGCTCCGAATTCGTCCCATCTTCCATTCACCTGCTCTCGTCAAAAGAACTCATTTCAAATAACAACTCTTAGAAATTAACTCGATAAGAATCTATTAGAGTTCGGTTTCGATTCTCTTTTACCCCTTTCGATAAAAAAAAATATATATTCCATTATAATTTGCACCATTCATTACAATTTTACAATTAGAAAATAAAACGTGCAATTTTATAATTAGAAAATAAAACATGAAACAATGAACGAAATCTTTGTTCAAATTAAGAAAAGAATGGAGGAGATTTCTAAATGTAACCGTCCAAGCCCACCTCTGCGAGTAGATATGGTCTTCTTTGTACTTTCCCTTTCGGGCTTTCTCTCAAAGTTTTTAAAACACGTATACTAGTGAGAGGTTTCCACACCCTTATAAGGAATGTTTTGTTTTCCTCTCCAATGGACGTGAGATCTCACACTAAAATTCAAACCTTGTAAAGGAAAAAATGAAAAACAAAGATGCATAGAGAGGTCGCACTTACATGGCCTTGAATCATAAAGAACGTGCGATGGAAATCCGAGGAGACATGAGCCGAAACAACCTCGATCTGATGCTTATCAAGAATATAACAAACGGCGGCGAACAAGCCAGACTTCTTGACGGAGCAGATGCAGAAATGGGCTTCGCCGCCACAAATACTTAATACGAGGTGGGAGGAAGTCCAAGTCTGAAACGTCGTAGTAGTATCAGAAAAAGGAGGCGGCAACGGCGGCAGTGGTGATGGAAGAAGAGTGGAGGACATGCCGTTGGAAGAAGAAGCTTGGTCGGTCAAGAAAGCTTGGTGGGTTGTGGTGGTTGAGCTGGATTGTTGTTGTTGCTGTTGTTGTTGAGGATGATAATGAGCAGCCTTATAGCTCACAGCTGGATTGTTGTTTTGGAGCTTTTCGAGCTTTTGGTTGTAGAGTGTTTGAAGGGTTTGTTGTACGGTTTTTATGTAGTTTACTGCTTCGTCCACTATAGTTGATTTGTCTGCCTGCCATTTCATTTGTTCCCTTATTGAATTATTATTTCACAAAATAAATATCATATACATAACATAATTTTAAGATTTAAAAAAAAAAATTTAATCGGAGGTTAAAACTTAACCCTATCCTATTCTACAGATATTATAAACATTAAAAATATCTGAAGTTTGTATCATTCATGACTCATTGTAACTTCGGAATATTTCATACTTGAATTTTTTTTTTGAGATTTTAATTATTAATGCATCGTGTAGGGTAGATAAGTAGAATTTTTTTAAAAATAATTAAAAAAAAGAGCTCGACAACCCAATTTAACCGAGCGGTTGGTTTGTGAATTCTATGCAGAGTACTTGAATCACAAATCCAACCAATCCAAAAACTTTCTTCAACTCAACTCAACTTGTGTAAATGGTAGTTTGTTAGGTTACATCACTGGATAGTATATGGACCCAGAAAAAAAATAATATTTTTTTTAAATTTAATAAACTCCTTAAACCATTGACTTTTTAATTAAAAATATATGTTAATTATAGTTCAACCAAGCTCATTTTGACATATAATATCACAATTAAACAATTAAAAAAAATATATAAAAATTCAAAATTTACAAAAACAAGAGTTTTGTTCAATGGATGAGATGAACAAAAAAAAAAAAAAAAAAAAAAAAAAAAAAAAAAAAAAAAAAAAAAAAAAAA